TACTGTGTCATAGAAACATGGCTTCGAATGGAACTTACTAGAGGTGCAGTACACAAAGAAAAAAAAATCAGACAGGTTTATTTTTGCATTCTTTATTTGTAATAATCAAATGTGTGTTTATCCTCTTTGGATACATTTTTACATTTCAAATTCACTGTTAATGACTGTAGATCCCACATTCAAAACAATGTAGGGAGACCCAGAGCCAAGAGGTCAACTTTGGAGTTTTATTTATAACAAAATGCATGTTTTTGCCAGGTTTTCTACAGCACCATCTCTTCTTCCACTGTCCATAAGCAGAGCATCCCATTATTATTTAGTTTTTTTTTTTCCCCCTTTTAAACTTCGCTTCTAAGATGCGTTTTGGTTGCCATGTATGTCATACAAACTGCCAGGTTTCTTGCCATCTGCTGCATGTATTTACCCACTGGTTGGGTCAAAGTTGTTTTGTTCTTTAGAAAACCAAAGCCAAGCTGTCTTGGTTTCAGGAAGGTAACAGCCAGGCCAGCTCACGGATGAAAAAAGCCTTGTACTCCCAGAATGTATTATTTTTTTTTTCCCTTCTTGGATTTTTCACATAACTCAAACCTGTGTTACAAAAATGAAACTATTCATGAAACCCAATGAGGTATTTTGTTGAGTCCTTTCTTTTTTAATCCACAGCATCAACAAAACTCTTTCAGGTTAACGCCTAAAGATCAGCTATAAATCCCAAACAGTCGAAGGTAACATATCTGCAGAGGTTTCCAAGAGCCATTGGTATGGCTTTGAACCTGTGACGAAGGATTTGTTAACGGTGCGTTTTGTGCAATATCTGAAAATGGTTAATTTCCCAAAGTTCTTTAGCATCAACGGATCCCTGAAATGAGATGTTATTTGCTGCCGTTGCAGCAAATGGATTTTAGTTTTTTATGGAAGCCAAAGATATACTGTGGCTCTTTTTGTTATTTAGAAAAAAATACTCTGCTAAATCATTTCCAAAATATTTTCACATTTAAATGTGTTTATATCCTGTACAAATAAACTGAAAAAAATAAAGAGAGATGCCACATGTCCACATTGTTTAAGCACCTGATTAAATTTCCCCCTTCAGGCCTCCTTGGTGAGCAGCAGGAGATGAGGAAACAATGGCTGCCCACTCTGACATTGAACTGTTCTCTAAACACATTTCTAGTCTGCAGCACACACATTTTTTAAGTCTTTTTGGACGCTGGCTGACGTGCCTAGATGTCGGCCATCTTGGGTCGGACCACAGTTCAGACAGCTGCTGTCGGAATGAATAGGAGGCGCCTTAAACCTCATTTTAATCACATGAAAGACGAGTCAGAGATATTACAATAATCTCTTACATGTCACAACCAATTAAAACCCAAAACAACCTAAAATATTAAAATATATATTATATATGATGCACATTAACTGATTAAAACACAAATGTTACATATAAGCATAAATAAGGATTAAAAAAACAGATGGAAAAAGGGTTTTGGAAAAAGTTTAGACAAACTTATAAGGACAAAAAGCCTTTAGATAGACACAACATAAATTTACCATTCACTAGGATTTCACAACAAAAAAATGACAAAAAAATAAAATTGATAAAAAAAACTTTACCCTTTTGTAAATCACATTACAACAAATTTTCTTCTATAGATCATAATACTCATTATCGAAGAGCTATCCTTAAAAATACTGAATTATGATATACTATATAAATATGTACTATTTTTAAAACAATCTTATATTAAAAACTTTGTTTATCATATTAATATTTAATTGCAAAATATATAACTGCATAAATCTCATCCAGTTTCAGTTTAAATAGTTTTTAATCTGAATAAAAATTTATATTCTAACTGAAAGGTCATGTAAGACATTAGCCTCGATTCCCACAGCCACTCTGAACTGTGGTCCAATCCAAGATGGCCGCCCTCTAGGCACGTCGGCCTCGCTGCTGACCTCATCCATGTCTATGGTCGACAGACCGTCTTATCGAGGTTGTTTCTGCACTAGATCAGGTCGTCCCAGATCTTTCTCATACAATAAATTCAGCTGTTATGTCGTTCTTCCAGGCAGGCTTGAAGTCCCAGTGGGTTTGATTTTTTAAAATTAATCTTCAGAAGACATTGAGGGATTTTCAAGGCAAAGTGTTTAGAGCATTTCAAAATTTTTCCCACTATGATTTAAAAAAATCCAGTTTAGTCTAAAACATTATTAGACTGGAGATAAGGAGAATATAGAGGATTGTTTCCCTGGAGATCCTACAGTATTACTGCCAGCCTTCCCGACCCATTTCTACCCTTCTACAGATATCATGTGTGATGTACCATGGTGAACATATAGCTGATACAGTGGAACTGGTAACGCTTTCTTCTGGTGAACACTTTTTCACCTCTGTGTGGACTCTGACTTTCAGTCAAAGGAAGATGTGTCTGGATGATCCAGCTGGGAGAAACAAACTTTATCCAATCTGATCGAAAACTAAATGCTGAAAAAAACAAAAAACAATGTGTTTCCATGTGGTTTTAAGTAATCGAAACAAAAGACTTACCTTTTTTCTTTCTTTTTTATTGTTTTGTTTTACAAACCTGCTTGTTAAAGGAAAGCTCTGTGTTTACACCTTGAAGCTTTCTCTCTCTGGCTCTTTATCCTGAAAAGAAATAACTCAGGACAAACTCTTTAAATAAAACTAAGTATTAAATAAGCTATAGGTTGTTACTATGATTTCACATCAGTTTATGGCTGCCCTACCTTATCTTGAGTTATCTTTGTTTTTATTAAATAGTAATTGAGTATTTTTTGGTCTGGCAGCCCTCTAATACCTCAATTATTATTGTCATTTCACTGTTTGTGTGCTGCAACATGCTCATCCACACTCCCCAGGGGAGCAAAACTTTAGAGAGACACTGGAAAAATGATCTAGAAATAGGTAAAAATGTCTTAAATCAAGTGTATTTACCCTTAATTTGAGGACGTTAATGAGATAGTTTGCCAATGGAATTAATATTTTTACACTTAAGATAATTAAATAAATGAAATTGTGTTTTCTTATTTTGAGTGTAAATTGTCTCTAAAATGTCTCTTTTACCTCCTCAATCAAAGAAGAAATGCACTTTTTTAAGAATAAATGACAAAAAATCCAGAGCAAATGATGTTAAGAGCAGCTTTAAGAGCTCCTTTTAATGCTTTTTAAGAATATAATTCAGTCACATATTCTGACAAACATCTGATCATCAATAATCAAGTTTTACTTCTATTTTTCTTTGCCTGGATTTCTAGGTATATGTTGTTCAGAACAAGCAGCCTCTTATAGCATAACAGGCCTGAAGTTGCTGTAAGTCTCAATGTATTAAACATAAAAACTAAAAAGACAGTGTGAATGCACTGTCACAAGAAAGTGTTGTTTTCATTTGTGGGTTTTACTATCATTTTATCATTACCAGGTGGACCCTGTCGCTGCTCAAATGGCCAAAAAATAAATGTGTTCCCAGTCCCTGATTTAATCCCAGAAACTTTAAATCCATCAAACAGATCTTTTTAATCTGTGATATTATTTGATTTGGTGTTTTTCTTCCTTCCCACTTGTTTGTTTAAATAGTTTGACACATATATTTAACTTTTCTTTAATTATATTGAATGGATGATTATTAACAATAGTTATGAAGCACTTTATTAGTCAAAATTACTAATCCAGAAATGAAAGTTTTACGTATGACAAGAGTTCTACTCATTCCATTGAGCCATAGTAGAGTATTTATAGAGTTAAATATTTATTTGTAATTATTTAAGTAGGAATATGATCATGGAAATCATTTGTCATGATATAATTTCACAAAAATCAGTTAGTAGTACAGGGTATAGCGATTGAATGTTAACCTATAGGCTTGGATTTCAGGTAGTCCTTTATATTCATAAGCTTCAGAAAGAATCTGGTGGTACAATTAATTAAATGATTAGAGCAACGATGTAGAGGAAGATTTTTGTTGTTTTCTTTAAAATGCAAAATGTCGATGACAAACATTAGTGCTCCTGCTGTCAATTCCTAGTTGGATCCCTTTTCATGGAGCCTCCCAACAGTTTACATGGTTGGAGGTGGAGAGAGGGGGTCTTCTTCTCTCTTTATTTGGCTCCACAAATTTCTACAGGATTTAAGTTTAGAGACACGGAAAAAAAGATTCCTCATTTGATTTGACACTGAAATTTGGAACCGAAATGAATAGAATAGAATTTCGAGGCATATAAAAGGAGCATGGCTTAAGCTCACAACAGCAAATAATTTGGCCATAAAGGAAAAGTCTGGTCATTTTCAGAATTCAAACTTCTGAAAGAAATAACCAATATACATAACATTTTTACGGTAATGGATATTTGAAAAATAGAAGCAACATCAGAGATGTGCAAAATGACTTTACAATAACCCCCCCACCCCAAAGTAAAAAAGAAACTGTTTTGAAAAGTATTCATTCTTTTCCTGCTTTGTGTGTCAACTGTCACGGTTGCTAGGCGACAGAGCGTAAGGCGGTAAAAGCCGCATGAGGTACAGCTGTTTGAATTCAGAGGCAAAACTATTCCGGTCTCCTTATTTTCAAAGACTTCAAAGGACCCAGTCCAGGTAGACCGGATGCTTGGAAGACGCTGCCTATAAATTCGAACGCACCCATTAACATTAGCATTAACCTGAGCATTAACAAACTACAGAACATCATTTCTTTTGAACTACAAATTTTCTATTGAAAGGGTCCTTTTGTCTAGTAGTCGCTATGGGTGAAGACACCCAAGCGACCAATGTGAAACCTGAATACATTCTACTGTTCTAAATTATTATTATTGTTTATTAAAACTTTTATTTTTCTATTAATGTTAGACTAATAGCTTTAACTGGAGTATTTAGATATTTTAAATAACAATGTATAAAGTTTTTAATTATGTTGTTTCCCTTTTCTTTCAGGCATTATCATGGACGTCTCACCGCTTCCCCTTTCCCCAAAGTTTAAAACTGGCAGTTGGTTTTCGAGGCAAACAAGGTGCCAGGAGGTTTCCAATGTTTACAAATATCAAGTACAGCTTGAACAGGAAAGCATAGCTGTATTTTTAGTTGCTTTGCTTGTCGCTAAAGCTAAGCAACCATAATGTGTTTACCTCCAGAAAAAGCTTCCGAGTTAAAGCAGATAATACAAAACCATCTGCTTAAGGTGAGTTAGCATCAGTCTTCTTTATCATCATGCGGTATATTATTTATAAGTATTTAATATTCTCTAATGGGGACGGTTGTATGAGGAACGTTTTGAGTCGATCGTATGTCCACTGATCACAGAATATAATAAACTTATACCTGTACTTATTTATCTTTTAATGACAGCACGGTGAACCGTATTAGCCTACTTTTTCTATCATTGCATAAATCTACTGTTATGTTCTGCTTATGATATATTTGCACAGGTCTGGGTAAAATGATGGTTATATTTTAATTACATTTTCAAAGCACATTGAAGAAATTCAGAGTTTAAATCCAGTTTATTCAAAATCTTTAATTTGATTTATTCTGCTATTTGTCACCTGCTTTCTGAAATCTAGACACATGTTCTCTATAAAGCTCAGATCTGTGAAGTTTACCTACAGATGATCTGATCTATGATCTTTCAGCCTTTTGACAGCGATGGTTCATGGTCTTTGAAAATCCACAAGGAACAAAACTTATTCTTTCTGGATTTTTGGAAGAAGTTAGCTTTTCAGGATGTTTTAATTCTAATACTGTACATTATTACCCCATAAAATAGTTCCCCCTCAGTCTGCAGCATTGAAACCCAATGGTTGTTTTTCCTTCAGATGGAAGGTCAGGAAAAGAGACTTGCATATTGTGTTTTACATGTATGAGGGATTTGTTTAGGTCATAAGGTGCTACATATTGACAAGCAAACATACATTTGGACATGAATCTGATCTGAAAACTATCATTAGGATTAAACATAAATAAGTTGTGATTTTTCTTCTTGTTAGAATAGAAATGATCAGTGCAAACCTTCTAGAGAACTGTTTTTTTAAGGAACCCGGATCCCCCTTAATCTCCTCTACATCAAAACCCGGAACCCAGAACCCGTTTGCAAAACATTTAGATATTTTACAATTAATATAGATTCCTTTAAACAAAATAATTAATAATGGTATTTAATTAATCATGAATTAACGATCTCTAACTTTTATTTACTTGTGCAAGCTGCAAGCTTTTCTCCTCACCTTACAGTTCCTGAAGGAAGTCCTCTCTTTATAGAGTGAGCAATACCCTGCAGCCTGCTCTATTCTCTGGTGGTGGGTAGAAGGGCATGGCTGAACTACCTCAGCTAATACAGGTAGTACATCCTCTGCTTGGCCTTCTTGGTGAGTGCATCAGGCACCTTCAGCTGCGAGAGCTTGTCCTACAGAGGGGCTGACATGATAGTATTGAGAGCAGAGCTGAAATCAACAAACAGCATCTCGGTGGAGGTTCTTCAGGAGTCCTGCTGCTGCAGAAAATAGTGAAGCCCATGTTTGCCCAATCATCTACAGACCTGCTGACTCAGTATCAGATCCAGTAATGGATTTAAAGACGGTCAGTCATTCAGTCCAGTGGTCCTTGTTTTATATGGGCAGAGAAACATAAAGCAACTGTAAAAGGCGGCCCCGTCCAGGAAACACACAGCCAGGCAGACGAGCTCTGAGC